TTTTTTTTCTTTTTTCCACTTGCTTTTAGCAACAGGTTCTGTTCCACTTAGATTACAAAAACTGCATTCCTTGGTGCTCTCCTGAGATGCCCACCTCCCTTAGCTCACCCACTGAGCTAAATCTACAGTCCTACACTGCTGACAATCTAGATCATGGACAATGATTGCATCTTGGAAGATAACTGGAAGATACATTTGGCTGGCAAGATTTTTTGGTGGCAGACAACTTCTCAGCAATGTCGCCGATTTAGAGACTGAGGGACAGTCTGAGCACTTTGAGATTACAACAGTCCTGGCAGGTGCTGGGTTTGCTCAGCACACCACCTGCCGGAGGGTGGGGTGTTAGGCACCTGGGGGAGCAGGGCTCGGGGAAGCTGAGGGCTCCAGGCCCCTCCAGCCCCACCCTCCATACCTTGCAGTTGATCTTGGTGGCACTTCTGGAATCAGCAGTCCCCGGGACGCCACTGGAGCTCTCAGCCTCATAGTTGTACACGTATTTCCGGAGGTGCTTGAATCGAGTTGCATCTCCTAAAATGAGGAGGAATAAGTCAGCCACAGGGCAGAAATAACTCTCCCAAGGACAGCCAATTCTGGGCAGAGAGGGGCAGTGGCATAGATAATTAAAAATGATAACTAAACTCAAATTATTTTTGATTGACTTTGTATTACACTTGATTTTCCTTTATAGATTTAATTTCATTATGTTTTTGCCAAGGCCAATGTTTAAATTAGCTGGCATTCCTTGAATACTTCATCTGAGGTACAGGAAGGGGAGTGTCGAGTGTCAAGTAATGGGCCTCAGAAAAACGTATAGAAGACACCCTCTGGTAAATGAAGAGTTGACAGCATTAAGCAAAGAGATAGTGCTATCTCTAATCTTTTTCTTAGCTTGAAAACACCAATTCTGTGACTCATTTTTGATGCTACGAATACATGAGGCAAAGTTGATTAAGCATTGGGGGTGTCTGGATAACTTTAAGAAAGCCCCAAGAGGGAATCTCTGGAGTTTCCACAGTGCTGGAGAGGAATTTTCTGAACCATTTGAGAAAAAGAACATCTGGGTGACGTTGCGGCGACCCGATGCAGTGATGCCAAACGCCCACCAGGTGGCGGTGCTGCCCCACCAGAAGCTGGCCCCGCGGCTCGGGCGGGAACACAGGGTACCACCGCTCTCCGAAAGGCCGGCTCCCTTGACCCCAGGGGTCAGGTAAATAGGAAGGGGGTGGAGGTCCGTATTTCTGCACGAAGGTTAAAGTCAGCATTTCCTCACCCTCACATGCAATGAATCAATGATTAGTCACTGATAAACAGGACAGCGATATCTCTTCGAAGTGTCCAGAGGCCAACAGAGTGACAGTCCCTACCCTTCCCTACCCCCAGGCTGAGATTTGGGGACAGAAAAGTAGGGCAGGTGGAGGAGAGCTTAGAGCCTTGGAGGTGAGCAGCGGCTCAAAGGACTTGCGTCCGCAGTCAGAGCCGCGTCGCGGGGGCCATGCCAGCCGCGGGGCACAGAGGATGCGCCTCCCAGCCGGGCGGGGGTGGGGGAGGCCTTACGTGGACAGACCGGGCTGACATTTTCCGGCACGTCGTCTTCTGTAAGAGAAGGAGAAAGCACTCTGAGTCTCCCGGTCGTGCCGGCGGGGGCGAGGGCCCGACCCCTGGGGGCACGCAGGCTCTGCAGGGCCACGCGCGGCCCTCCGTCCTGCCGCCCCCTCCGTCCTGCCGCCCCCTCCGCCCTGCCGCCCCCTCCGCCCTGCCGCCCCCTCCGTCCTGCCGCCCCCGGCGCGTCCTGCCCCGCCAGCCCCGAGGACCTGTGGCTGCCCGCCTGCGCCCGCCGCGCCCGCCCGCGCACTCACGCGCCCGGCGCCCGCCCCAGAGCAGCAGCAGCAGCCCCAGCGCCAGCGGCGCCTGCAGCGCGGGCCTCGGCGGGCCCATGGCCGAGCGGCGGTGCGGCGGCTCCGGCTGGCTGCGGCCTGCACTCGGCCTCGCGCCCGCGGCTGCTCCTCGGACCGGCACCCGGGCTAGGGCAGGCGCGCGTCCTGCAGCCCAGGGGGGAATGCGCGGCCCGCGCCCGCGCCCCTTTTATAGGAGCCGGGCTGACCGAGCGCCCGGAGTTGCAAAAGGTCCAAAGGGCGCGTCCCGGCCCTGTTTGCTTTTCCACCCAGGCTTGTCTCCGGGGTGCGAGGAGGCGCTGGGGAGGGGGCGCACTCGGACCCGCCGCCCCACCCGGGGCCTTCCCGCTGGGGTCTCAGACCGTGGGCCGGGGGAGACTTAGTGCCTGAGAAGCCTGCCCAGACCCGGGGTGCCTTCAGGGACGACCAACCACAGGGACAACACCTTCTCCCTGCTCTGATTTCTGAGGCGTTTGGAGGCCCGTCCTGCACAGCGTGTTGGTTGAGGCATTTCTCACCATTTCTGTCCTGTTTTGGTGGACTTTGGATTTGCATGGACACCCCTAATCCTGATCGGTATCGGTGTCTGTGGGCTGCACACCTGGGATTCAGCCTAGCGGGAGGCAGGAGACAGAGAGGGGAGCCGGGAGGTCTGGTGAGCCACCGGGACTGGCCCTGAGGGATGGGGGCCACCCGGTCCCAGCGGGAGCTCAAGGAAGGAAACCCCAGCCAGGTGGGGGCTCTGGAGAAGACCGGCTCCCTGGGCCCCCCTCCTGAGCACGGTCTTCCTGGGGAACGGAGAGGAGGCTTTTCCCCACCTGCACCGGCTCCTGGGTTTCCCCCAGTGGTGGTGGTGGGGCTCGGGCAATGAGGAGAAGTAGAGTAGAGGACTGGACACAGCACGTTCCTCCCAAACATGCTGGAATCTTCTCTAGGAATTGTTTCCCTGTCTTCTAGGTGCTTTCCATTTCCCACAGGGAACTTGCCAGTGCTCGCCGCCCCTGCCCAGCTGTAGGGCATCAGGCCTAGGACAGACACTTGGGGGCACTCATTTCACTGACCCGGGATCAGTCAGAACCGGCTGCTGCTGGGGGGGCTGTGAGGGGGCGGACGGGTGTCTGCACCTGGCCGCGCCCCCAACTCCAGCCCGGTTGGACAGACAACATGTGCAGACAGGAAAGTGCCAGCGAGCAATCTAGGTAGGAGATGAGGGGGCTGTGTGGGGACACACAGGAAGGAGTGAGAGCAGGAGGCGGCCAGGAGCCGGGACACAGGACTGTCAGGGACAGGATGTGGACAGCACAGAAGTCAGTGTGTGTTTATGGTTACAGTCTGTCGGTTTTGCTTGATTTATAAGATATATCCAGATGTAACAAACTACTTGTGAAGTTGCTTAAATCTTCTGATGGCATGACTGCTGGTTCCAGGAGGGTCATCACTGTGTATGAAGACCCCTGTTCCCTCAGATGAGACTCACACGATGACCTATGCCTTGTTCCCCGCACTTGGGCCTCCACACCATCCTCGTTTGTCTTTAGCCACAAACTCCTATGGGCAGCTAAACTCCCTCCAGAGACCGGCTGTGTTGCATCCATGGCCTGTTCATGTTGTGAAAGGTGGATATTACAGAGGTCTCAACTCAAGCCTGGTCATACTGCACCACTGAATTGGGAAAGGGTTGAAAGAAGTAATTGCCCCGAAACTCCATTTCTCTGAGCATTTTATTTGAATTATTTTACGTGCACTGATGTTCCACAGGACAAGCTGCTGTTAGTATTTGAGGAAAGGGTCCTGCTCCCATACACACTCACTTTTAGGAGAATGGGGGAGAATATTCAAGTCAAGAGAAGCCAGACAGAGATGGCTAGCTTTAATGTACAAGCACAAGTGCAGCCTTTCTCGGTTGGATGACAGATGAAGCCAGTGTCCTACGGGTGGCATCAACAGAGAACATGATTTCTACAAATTGGGAATCAAAAATGAATCTGGTAACTTGGATGCAGAGAAACACTGTGGGATGTTTGGATGAGCCTGAGTTTGCCATCACCATCTCCACAGGAGAAAACCTAAGACTGAACTGCTGGGCTCAGCTTCCCTTTCTTTGTCCGACGGCCTCAGGGAAGTGTCCCCTGGACTGGCCTCGGCCAGCAGTGCTTGTCCTCTGACCGGGTCTAGCATACGAGCTCCACAGAGCAAACGTGCACTTGTTGAGCTGACTTGAGTATATGCATAGAAGTACTGTAAGGATTAATGCAGAGGTTGGTCTTAAATGACAAAATCCCCTTAGATCCTTGGACAAAAGCTATTTGAAAATATGTTATTTGTGACCACAGACATCACCCTCGTTCCTTTTCCTTTAAGTAGAGACACGCTCTGGTGTCACACAGATTAATCTCGGCTAGTCACTATAACTTATCAGCTCATGAATGCAAAGTCCTGTTGGGTGAGCCATCAATCTGACTAATCACAGGGCTCTGGGTACGCATTAGAAAGCCACCTGACTGGTGGAATTTCAAGGAATTAGATAATGCCGAATGTCCCAGTTAAAGTCTCTAGGAGTGAAACTATCCATTTTGCCCAACTGCAGGTGACCAGAAGGATCTTGGCCAAGTTCAGGGTACCATGGAAGTTACTAAAGGCCCAGATGCCCAATATTCTGAGTTCGGTGCGGCTCACAGACTGAAGTAGATGCTCAGAAAACCATTTTCTCACTATGAATGAATGAATCTGTGCCATTCAGCTATACCCTGTTGCTTCCAGGATGTTTATGTACCGTGACCATGATGCTAAATAAATGTTTTCAGTGACATAAAGCAAGGAAATATAATCTATACAAATTATTCCCAGCCATGCTGTTCCAAAAACTCATTTGGCAAATAGGGACCAGTATTGACAATGATTAATTAGTCTATCTCTTTTCTGCCTGTGACAGCATTATAATTGCAAATGATGCCCAGAAGCTAGAAAGTAAACTTCAAGCATCGTGGATGGAAGCATGCCCAATGTGGTCTCTACATGCCAACGATAAAGCACACGCACACACACACACACACACACACACACACAAGAGAAATGTCAAGAAAAAAAATGGTGCATTTAGGTGGCAAATGGTAGAGTGGGCCAGTGTCAACAAGGTACAGACATTATAGATGGATTATTAACCTCCTGTGAGGGAGCAAAAAGAAAAACTCTCCTCCTCTGTCATTCTGCAATCCCAGAGATAAGGTCAGAATGTTGAGCAGCAGTTCCAGCAGGGGGAGAGAAGTCAGAAGTCAGCAGGGTTCAACGTGCAGTGAGGCTGTGTGTGAGTTATCACTCTCTCGCCCTTCAGGGTTGGCTGCTGCCCCACCTCCTGTGAAGAGCCTTCCCCTGGCACCAGCCCAGTCAGACATGACGGCTTCTGACTCTGATCCCCTGTCAGTCACTTTCCAGGTAGGACAACGATCACAAAGGGCCTTCGTACAATCCTGCTGTTCTTGCCCCCACTTTATATTTTTCTCTTATAACGTTATTTAATTTATCACGTGGTTACATATTTTTTTGCCAAGCAGAGAGAGAAGCTTGGAGGGCAAGAACTGTGAGTCGTCCACACGTGTGTCTTTCCCTGCCCTGTCCCTCGTGAACACCTTCCTTAGACAAGGCAGGCCGCAGTCAAGCGGTAGATTTTGTGATTATAATGTGGCGTGGTTTATGCGAGATGGGCTTGTTTGGTATATGCATTCCGTTTTTACTCCTGGGTGCTGCTGCACGTATTCATATCTTAATTTAGAATGCGTGGCCAACTTGAAGCTGGAGGAGAGGGGGCAGGATCCGTGAACTGGGATCGTCGTGGGGTGGTTTCTAAGGCTCTGGGTGTCAGTCCCCCGACTGTGTGATGGGAAGACAGGACTAGATGACCTCTTAGCCCCATTCCAGCTCTGACTGCTTTGATTCTGTGGAAACTTCGGGACTTAAAAAACAAATGCATAAATTATTCCAGGCTCAAGCCTCACAGCTGCTGGGACCTTCCTCATGTCTAGCTTTAGGCTTTATCCTTCCTTTGATACAACTTAGTGCTTCCTTTGAAAGGCTTTTTGCTGGCTCTTGTTAGCTGCTCTTTACTATTTTTTTTTGTTTGTTTTCTTTATGTTCTCATAAGACTAGGGTCCCGCATGCACTCCTCTTAGAAGCCAGAGACCAGTGCTGATGATGGCAGCTGGGGGGATAAACAAACCTCATCATTCCTCTCTTGACAATTCTTCAAGAATTTAGGGTGCCCCTGAGCACTGTCCCCTGTGAGCTTCCAGAAGAGGAGGGCATAATTATACATCACGGCTAATAACGAGTGTATGTAAAATGCCCAGCGTGGGGTCTACGCAGTCAGACTGCGGTGGTCCAATGGGGTTATCAGGGGTCCTGGAGGGGTGAGACTTGAGCTGGCTTGGATGATGGGCAGGATCTGGGTAGGTGGACGGGGCAGCAGCACAGAGAGAGCAGCGGCAGGAAGCTGAGAACATATCTGCTGTGTCCGGCAATCTGTGAGCCAGCCACCTGGGGTCCGTGGAGAGGGCTGGGGAGATGGAAGATGTGGAGATGGAGCTGGGGGTAGGGCTAGGGGTGTGCGTGGGGGTGGGGTGGTGATGGGGATAGAGTTTGCTGTTCCCTGGCCCACGGATAGAGCTCCCAGACTAACTAAATGGCGTTGAAACTCTAGATTGCATAGAAAACCATGAGTATTGGGGCTGAGTTCTCCTTATCCAGAGCTGGGAAGGGAGGTATCGAAACAGGAATTCATGGAGTCTCAGACAGAGAGAAGATCTTAGAGATCTAGACTAATATTCTCATTTTATAGATGGAGAAACTGAGGTCTAAAGCCTAAGGTGTTTCGTTTTTATTTTCTATGGTTCTTTTTTTGTTCTCATGACAAGGGCAGAAGAAGGGCAAGAACTTGGGTCTCTAATTTATAATCTAGGTCAGGGGTCCTCAAACTTTTTAAACAGGGGGCCAGTTCACTGTCCCTCAGACCATTGGAGGGCAGGACTATAGTTTTAAAAAAACTATGAAAAAATTCCTATGCACACTGCACATATTTTATTTTGAAGTAAAAAAACAAAAGGGGAAAAATACCCGCATGTGGCCCGAGGGCTGTAATTTGAGGACGCCTGGTCTAGGTTATTCATTCTACTCTATTTGCACTGAATCCACTTGACTACAGAAAAGTGCTTGAAGATTGCTTTATAAACATGAATCTTTGATGTCAGTGCATTCCCTTGTAGTCTATTTCTCATTAAAAGTGAAAACTTTCAGTGATTTTTTTAATGGATTTGTCATTAGAATAAATATTAATATATAACTAATTATATAGAATGATAGAGGTTCAGGGTCTCAAAGGGCCATAAGGTCATTGAATCCCGCTCTTCTCTAGCAATCTGAGAATACCTGGGCAGCCATTAGTGGGCTGCCTAACTGGTGGAATTTTATGAAATTAGATAATGCTCTTGTCAGTATAGCAATTAGGCATCTCTGAAAGGGAAGCACCCTGTCTAGATACAGATGGCCAGATGGAGCCCGCATATGTGTAGCAATGCTGGGTGGGCCTATCTCAGGTCTCTGCTATTTCTGTCCTCCTCTGAGTCACAGGCCATCCATTACAGGGAAAGCTGGGGACGTTATCAGTATTGAGGTGAAGTTTTTCTGACACTGTCTTTACCTAGATTCTGAAGTCAAGACCGGATATTTACCAGATTGCCTGATGTTTTTATCTATATGTCCTTCCCACTGTGTTAGCATGGAGGAGGGCTCAGGCCATTGCTGGAACCCAGCCTGCTTTGGTTACCTGGTCTGCAATGCAGAAAGTGGGTGTAAACATTCTGGTTAGTATTAGACGTTCCTTGTCTTTTTTTTTGTTTTAGTGGTGTACTTAGCTTTTAATAAGGTCATTTAAAAAAATATGTAATGGACACCTTTAGGTGTTCTAAGGTTTACCCTGGAAAGGGACTTCTTTTTTTAATAGCTTTATTGAGGTACAATTCACATGGCATAAAGTATACCCATTTAAAGTGTACAATTCAATGGTTTTTCATGTGCTTACAGAATTGTGAATATACTAATAGAGTCACAACAATCAATTTTAGAATTTTTTGTCACCCCCAAGAAGAAATCTGGTACCAGTTAGCCATCACCCCTCAACCTCTCCAGTCTTCCAGCCGTAGGCATCCGCAGAGCTACTTTGTGTCTCTCCAGATTGGCCTATTTTAGGCATTTCATGAACATGGTATCATACAATGTGTGGTGTTTTGTGACTGGCTTTTTTCACTTAGATAATATTTTCAAGAGTCTCACCTCTTATAGCATTTTATTTATTTTTATTACCAAATAATATGCTATTGAATGGGTATACCACATTTTATTTATTTATCAATTGATATACATTTATATCATTTCCACTTAATGGCTATTATGAATGCTTCTATGAACATTTGTGTTCCAGTTTTTGCATGGACATATGCTTTCATTTCTCTTAGGTGTATACCTAGGAGTGAAAATGCTGGGTCATTTGGTAATTCTCTGTTTAATCATTTAAGGAACTGCCAGATTGTTTTTCAAAGTGGCTCAACCATTTTCCATTCCCACTAGCAGTGTATGAAGGTTCCAGTCTTTCTACATCCTTGCTGACCCTTTTTGATTATACTCATCCTACTGGGTGTGAAGTGGTATCTCATTGTGATCTCAATTTACATTTCCATGTAAATTGGCTAATGATGTACAGCAGTGGTCTCCAACCGTTTCGGCACCAGGGACCGGTGTCATGGAAGATGAATTTTCTATGGACTAGGGGTGAGGGGGATGGTTTTGGGATGATTCAAGTGCATTACATTTACTGTGCAGTCAAACCTCTCTGCTAGTAATAATCTGTATTTGCAGCCTTTACCCAGTGCTAGCATAACTGCCTCAGCTCCACCTCAGATCATCAGGTATTAGAATCTCATAAGGAACAGGCAACCTAGATCCCTCCCATGTGCAGTTTACAGTAGGGGTCACACTCCTATGAGAATCTAATGCTGCTGCTGATCTGACGGCAGCTTATGTGGTGATGCAAGTGATGTGGAACGACTGTAAATACAGATGAAGCTTCACTCGCTTGAGTGCTGCTCACCTCCTGCTGTGTGGCCTGCTTCCTAACAGGCCATGGACCCATACCGCTCTGTGGCCCTGTGGTTAGGGACCAAAGAGGAAGAGCATCTTTTTGTGTTCTTACTGGCAATTTGTATATCTCCTTTGGAGAAATGTCTATTCAAATCCTCTGGATTTTGAATTTTTCAATTGGATTGTTTGGACTTTTTTTTTTTTATTAAAATTGTAAGTATTCTTTATATATTCTAGATACAGGTCCCTTATCAGATATAGGATTTGCAAATATTTCCCCTCATTCTGTAGGTTGTCTTTCCACCTTTCCTGGAAGTACAAAAGTTTTAATTTTGATAAAGTTCAATTTATTTTTCTTTCCTTTGTTGCTTGTCCTTGTGATATCATATCTAAGAAACCATTGCCTAAAACAGGGCCAAGAAAATTTACTCCTGTGTTTTCATCTAGGAGGTTTACAGTTTTAGGTTTTACATTTAAGGTTGTGATCCATTTTGAGTTCATTTTTATGTGTAGAGGATTCCTTTTGATCCTTGCTTTTAGAAATTTCTAGGTTTCTGTGAGCCTGTAAGTGGCCCTGAGTTACTTCTTCTGCCTCCCTGCTAATACGGCGTGGCTGTCCCCAATGAGGGTGACATCAGTCCTATTGCACAATGGGCAGGATCAGACCTTATCAGGATGTGCTCCTCCCTGGTGCTTTCCAAAGCTGTGACCAGTCACCTGGGCTGACAGCTAAGTCACTGAGGGGACAAGCCCACAACCCTTGCCTTTTCAGAAGGAAAATCAGAGATGTTCTTGGTCTCTGAAGCTGAAATCTCAAGCTCCTTTTGGAGTCCATGATGCCTTGATGACCATTCTTCCCTTTTCCTTCAGAAAGTGTCAGCAGTTAGAAACAGAAAGCTTGCTATGCACCCAACACAGCTCAACTTGTTTTACAAGGAAACACACAAAACTAGTAACAAAAAAAAAAAAACTTTTAAAAAGGACGAGTTAATGTCTTTGGCAACAATTTGCAAAAGAAACTGGAGACCATTATCCTAAGTGAAATATCCTAAAGAATGAAAAAACAAAGGCCACATGTGCTTGCTATTAAAAAATTGGAGCTAACCGATGAGCACACGTGTACATAGAGGGAAGCAAAACTCAGGGGAGATCAAGCAGGGGGTGAGGAAGGAGAAGAGGAAGGGCAAAAACCTACCTAACAGGTATAATGAACACGATATGGGTGATGGTCACATTTATAGCTGTGACTTAAGCGCTACAAAATTGATTCATGTAACCAAAAACATTTGTACCTCCTTAATGTTTTG